ATCTGTAATCGGAAGTCGCCATCATGGATTTCGATATGGCGTCGGATATCGATGTTCATCCTCTTGACATCATCCCGATTCCAAAAATACCTTCATTGATAAGTATTTGACAGCATTTTCCACTTTTTCTTAAACCGGAAGCCACCATCTTGGATTTTAAAATGTCGCATATCAATTTTCGAAATACCCATATTGATGGGTAAACAAACCACCCGACAGTGATAAATTTGACATCCACGTGCACAGATGAAAGGAGAAATGAACACGAGTCAAACCAAAACAAACAGCATGAAAACTGATCGAAAGTGGTTCTGTTTATGTTGACGGGGATCTGCTCGAAGAGAAGACAGAATGACCAAAGATGAATACTAAGATGAAACTGTCGAAAGAAAAACATTATATTTTAGTGTCCTCTTTCACGGTCCCTTTCATCCAATGAATACCCCCCGTATCCAAGGTAATTTTGTGGTTTTGCTGCCCCCTCGGTAGAGATGAAATTTTGCGCTCATTTTTATCAAAATAAACACACCAAAATCAGAGGTGCTCCATTTTTTAATTACTCGATTAACAACTAATCGATTTTTTTTTGTTCGCTGTGCTGCCATTTTTTCCACCAATGAGAGTGCAGCACATGTTTGAAACGATCGGTGATGATCCTCTGGAGAAGTTAATGTTTATATCGGCATGATATAACCGATTACAAATATCTTACTTTTCGGTTCGTTAATCGATTAATCGATAATTCGAATGAAAATCAGCCATCACTAGATGAATGTGAAACGTCATTTCAAATATATGGACCGTACATAAATAATGATACAATTTGAAAGGGACCGGGGCTCATCACAAATTACGTCCACACGGCAACTGAAATAAACACGAGTGTTCACCGGTTGAAATGACTTTCAATTGAAAGTGATGGTTGACAGCTTCATCGTCGCTTGACGATTTTCGATTGAAAGTGACTTTGTGGGGGCCCTGGTAGCAACAACAGAGACGACCCTTGGACACAGCAGAAACGTTAAGCCAGCAGTTATCGGTTAGCTATAGGTTTCGTTTATAGTAAGTTGAATAAACGCACTCATTCAGTGTTCAAACGTGCAAGTGGAACTAGGAAGACCTAGAATTTAACTGGCGCAGTCGGGTCGGATTTAAGTGTCTAGTAGCGATAAAGTGCAGTATCCAACAACGGCGGTTTACCGTGAAGATAGTGCAGGACCCGTTGCGAAAACAGGATCCCCGAAATGACATCGGGAATTAAACGTAAGTCAAAAGTTTTACAATTATTAAGTGCAATTGTGTTATCAATCTACCAATATTTAATTTGTTGGAGTTGGTTGGAAATGCTATCTAACATGAAGCTTCAGTGTGATAATTTATTAGCTAGCTTACGAGCTTAAGCAAAGGTACGCTGAGTTGGTGATTAAGGAGGCCAAACTCGATTTGGTCGCCAGAACAATCAGCAACGCTCTAACTACCAAATGTGCCGGTTGCGCCACGGCGTTAGAACACAATTAACCACTTCATTCGAGCAGCTAAAATGACGTTTACTACCACTCGAACTTTGAAATAAAACATTATTTTGAGATTTTTTCTTCTAGAGCCTCGAGAAAAGTAGCCAACATTTGTGCGTTTCATAAAAAAATAGAAATTAGTTTGTCCAGTTTTGTGAAATCGCTGGTAGAAAGTCACGCCAAAACTGCTTGACAAAGTGGTCAATTATTTACACTCTCTCTCTCTCTCTCTTCTCGTGTTCGACCGTTCGACCCATGCCAATGCAGTCTCGATACCGATAGGTGTCATATTGCACAACTGGGTAGGACCACCGGGCACCGAAATTGCCGACCTAGCGAAGATGCATTTTTCGGGCACGCTACTCCAGGTTAATTTGTGGTGGATGCGCCCACTGTGTACGCCTATGCGCGGCATGAAGTGGGTCTTTGAATCGAACGATGAGTGTTATGCTTTGCAAGCATAAACATCCGTTGCTCGAGAACGATAACCTACCAAAATGCACACGCGGCGGAAACTTTGTGTGACACCCCACACATAGCGTTAAGAATGAATAAAATTAATAAAGTAGCATGAAGTGGGATCCCAACCAAGAAGGTTGCTTTAATTCTATCACAGTCCGTGCTTCGTATTAAGGTCTACCAGGAGGTTTTATCAGAAACTAAAAGGGAACCAAAGCATGGCGATCCATTGCCAGTGACAAGTGTAAACCTACAAACCCAGAATTAATGAACTACAATCGAAAAACCGCGAGTGAGTGGAAATTTTCGCCGACTGGTTCACAGAGTGTACATTCTCGCGTGTAATTAATTACCGGCGAAATGGGTTGGTTCAGCGCCGATGAGATCGTCGCCCCAGCCGTGGTGTCCAGCACGGAAGGACACCACACGGCCCAAACAGTGGCATTGTGCGTTATCGCAGGTGTAGCCGTGGGCTACCTTTTAGTGAAAAGTGTGATGAAATGCCACCGTCAACAGACGGAGCGCGTGGCGGAACGCACCGTCCGGTTGGCAAATTTGCCAGCATAAAAAAGAAGACTGAGTGAACCGAAGTAATTAAAATCGGAGTTGCAACCATTCAAAAAACAAAAGTTGCAAAATTGGTTCCTGATCCAGAACTGTGTTGGAGCCCGTCGTCAAATTGATAAAGTGACGTGAACAATAAATTGCAAAACGAGAACTAATAAACAGTTTGGACAAAGACATGGCATCGAAACAAACATTACCAAAAGAAAAATTAAAGTAGTGTTTAGATTTCTTTTCTAGTGAAGTGCAACACTGAAGACGATTAATCGCAAAAAGAAGACAAGTGAGTGAGGAGGAAGTCCTCGCGAAAAAGGAGATAATCGACGCTGTGTTCCGGGTCGCGGCGGTAGCTGTCCAAGATATAGGATCACCGGGAGAGATGCTGACTCTGGATTTTCACCACAGAGAGCTGATCATGATGCTGGAGCAGTATAAAACCATGATCGGTCTCTAAAAGGAAAAAAAAGGAAATGGAGAAGAAATGGTGTAAACAGACAGCAGCAGTATTCAACAACGGCCAAGTATAATTAAAAATAAGGTAAAGCAAAAACAAAAACCCGAAAATGAGTGAGTAATAGATAAGAAATATGGAATGGATAGATTTTTTGAAGTCGAAGATGCAATATTTAAGCTGCATCAGAGTTTGAAAAAATTCAGCAATTTCAAAGTTGAAACAAAAGAAAGGAAGGCAGCTGATTTAAAAAATTTAAAAGAAGAGTTGAAGGCAATTGTGAGAGATAGTTCCATAGATTTTGCGTCAAGAATTCACTTGTTTTCTAGATACAAAAAATTAAGAGCGGTTATCCATGATTGTCTGAAAATACTTCAAGCACCTTTGGACGAATCGACGTTAGGGAATTTATTCAATTCAGAAGTTGAAAGTCAGGAAAAGGAATTGGACGAAACTGACAGTACAGAAAATTCTGGAGAGTCTGAATCAGAGTTCGAGGAAGAATTTGCGAGGATGGCTCCGAAACTGGACCTCAGTTTGGTCCTTAAGGTCGTTCAACCCTTTGACGGGACAGTCACGAAACTGACTAGTTACATCGAAGCAGTTGAACTACTTCAGGATTACTGTGAGGGAGTTCCGGAGGATAAATTAATCAAATTTCTGAAAACAACTCTAGAAGGAGCAGCGCACGGTGCGATTGATAACTCAGCAACCGTTGCTGATGCTCTGCAAAAATTGCGCCAAAAATTCGCCATAAAAGTCACCCCCAGAGCGGTTCAAAATGAGATGAACGCTCTAAGACAGAGTCAAAAGTCAATATCTGACTTTGGCTCAGAAATTGAGAAATTATCAGCAAAATTAGCGGCAGCCCATGTATCAATGGGTACCTTTCCAAATGAGGCTGCAGCTGTAAACATTGTGGAGCCAATTGCGGTTCAATCATTTATTACTGGGTTGAAAGACCCGTCGACCAAGTTTTTCCTGAAAGCGAGAAATCCGTCGACTTTAAATAAGGCAATTTCCGATGCATTGGAGTGTCAGACGACAAATGCTGACACTACCAATGATAATATGATGGCACTGTGGTGCACATCGAATGGAATGAGCCGCAACAATAGCTTTCATGCGAGAGGTCGCAGAGGTTACGGTTGTTTATCGCGGGTACCAAAATACTCGTGGTAGAGGTTATGGACGTGGTAGAGGACAATACCAAAACTACCACCAGAGAAATTTTGACCAAAATTACCAGCCTCTCAATTCCATCATAATGGAAGAGGGAGTAGAGGCAACCGACCACAAGCCACGTTAAGCCAAGAACTGTAAAGAATTGTAAACCCAATATAAACAAAACCGAAACCCAAAAATAGAGATTCATAACCAATCACTTGAAGACTCTTGACTGTAGTCCTTACTGGTGATAGCTTTTCAGCTCACCATAGTTTGGATACTACTAAGAAAGAAAGTCCTTCTCCACAACATGTTTAATGCTTGAAGCCTACTTCAACTACTACTTCAACCACTGCGACCAGTAATTTGATCTATTGTAGTATATCCCGTGTCTTGAGTTTAGTGCATGTCGTATTACTCCATCACTATTGAGAAATGACGAAGTATTCGTTTTTTTTTTACAGTTGTCATTCTTGCATTTATGTTACATGGACGATTTTTCTCAATGACATAATCAATCAGTGTTTCATTGGACGTTTTGTCTACATGATACTAGATTCCCTTTCACAGATTTCAGAATATAGTACCTAACTTTAGATTGGCCCCGCCTTTGGAAAATGAGCACCAATCATGTTAGGCAGTCCGAATGACCGAAGTAACAATCATGTATCCATCATTTCAAACTGTACATTGGACAATTTTTGATCAATGATTATCTTAAATAAATGAAAGTAAATTTGGATGGATGTTTTTGTATCACAAACAATGACAGAAGAGCAATAGTTTGTATCGCTTAACTCGATTTGTTTACATTTGTTACATTGGTCTATTTGAAAAGTGACGCGAGATTTTAATAACAAAATTTTACTTAAGTTCATTCGAGGCAATATGAACACCACTGATATTTCTTAAATACTTCAATTTTGCATTAGGCATTCCTTTAATAAATATTACCGTATCATCACAGAACAGAAGTGGAACTTCGGATCAGAAAGTGGCTCAACTCTTCATTGACGAACACTAGCGCACCTAGCGGTAGAAAGCATCTTCTGCCTGCAGTTAAGATGGGCAGAATGCTATGATAGTGTGAGGGCACATAGAAAGCCCGTGTGGAACGCTACCACAACGCATCGTTTGTTGAGCAGCAGAACGAACCACTTCGTGATTCACTGATTTGTTTGCACTTGCCCTTCTGTTCTGTGGTATATTACATAACGTTTTGAAACAGCTGCTTTGGTTAAAACAAATCAGTCATTCGCAAGACTAAAAAAATATAGCCTTAAATAGGCAGTACTCCTGAAATTTAATTTATTCTACAGAAATAGTTGTTTCTGTTCAATATTTTTATGCTAAAACTGTTCATTGTTGACCCTTCATAAAACCTCAAGTTGTTTACAAGGTCGTCCCTACCAACCCGACAGGGTGCTCATTTTACCCCTCATTATTCGGTTACAAAACGAACTTTTTTTTAAATCCTTTTGCATAAGATTTAAGTGTAGGGTCAGGTGGGGCAAGAGTGCCATATGGGGCAAAAGTGCCACCTGCTTGTATCGAAGCCTGAAATACATTTTTGATATTTCTTATTAAGGTTCAATTTACTTTGATGCTTTTTGGAAAATTTCAAAAGCAGTTTTTTCCCAGGCATTATTTCAAATTGCAAAAAGCTCGCACTATTCGATTCCTTTTGATATTTTACACAAAATGACGCGAGCTTTTCGAAATCTAAAATAATGCGTCGAAAAAAACTGCTTTCAATTTTTAAAAAATGATTCAAAGTAAATTGAACCTTAATGGGATGCTATAAAAAGCCCTTCAGATATACTGCATCAAATTTGGTTATACATTATGATGTAAATATTATCAAAAAATCTAAAAAACTTACACGTTGTCGACAACTTCAAAATGTTATAAGAAATCGATGACATGAAATAAGCTTTTTCTCATCATTTTTCTAAGAAAATTTAATAATACGATGTAGATTTTATTGTACGGTAATACATTTTGCGACCCTCAATATATAAATACTTATTGTTGCATGTAGATCCTCAAGAAACGTATTTAAAATTCGTCTTCTCCACGGGGGCAAGAGCGCCATACTTGCCTGGGGCAAAAGAGCCATAGTAAACAAGACATATAACCTCAAAAAGTTGCCGCCTCAGAGTGAAGTTTCGAAGTGATGGTGCGTGTCCACAAGCGAAAATCGTTGCGTAAATCGTGGTCGGAACAGAATATGGTTGCGGCCATACGATCCGTGACTAAATATGGGATTTCTGTGCGAAGAGCAGCAGTTGAACACGGTGTCCCTCGCAAAACGCTATCGAAATATGTGCTGCTGGCGTTGGAACCTGGATCGCAACTAGTTGAGCATGTTATCAAACTGGAAAGTCGGCTGTACGGAATAAGCTGCCACGATATGCACAGTCTTGCTTTTCAGCTTGCCGAAAGGAGTGGAATAAGTCATCCATTCAACAGGGAAACTGGGCTTGCCGGAACCGATTGGCTACGTGCTTTCCGACGTCGTCACCCTGAACTGACGCTTAGAGTACCCGAAGCAACATCTGCTGCTCGTGCGCAAGGATTTAACCGGGTTGCTGTGGACAAAGTTTTTGATCTCCTTGACCACGTTACAAGTTCCGGCAAGTTTGCACCCAGCAGAATCTACAACGTAGACGAAACCTCTGCTTTGACCGTAAGTTGTATAAATTAATGTATCATTTTTATCAGCAAATTAACAGGCATTCCGGTTTACAGGTTCAAACCAAGAATACAAAAGTTCTAGCGCTTCGGGAATATGAACCGTTTGATTGCGAAATTTTGATGATTTTCTTGTTATTGAGTTATATGGCCGTCTTGCCCCATGGGGGTGGCACTTTTGCCCCACACTGTTTTTTAGCCTTTGTTGATAAGGCATATGAAAACAATTAAGAAAAAATATTTAACGTTTACATATTCAGTTTCAGATACAACAGGTTTAAGTAGAGGATGTTTAAGATTCTATGTACATCATTTGTTTAAAAAAAAAGTTAGATTAACCTATGTTTATTGAAAGATTTTCTTAACGTGGCACACTTGCCCCACCTGACCCTATGTTCAATATTCAATTTGTATTCATAATGTAAATAGGGCTTGAAACTATCCATTTGTTTGAACATCATTCGAATATTCCACTGAATTTTATATGATTAGTGATGATTTTCTTAAGGTTGCCAAACTGCCCCACTTTCCCCTAAGCACTCGGAGAAAAAGTTTGTTGAGCTCTAGTGAACCGATCATCCGGTTCTTGTAAAAAATGAGCCATGAATCATTCACTCTCCATACCGATCCGGATCAGATTGCACATCTCTAGTTAGGCTCTTATGATTCTGAACGTAAGCAATAGTTTCGTTCCCAACAACTACGGTGGACGTATGCCCTTTTAAAGTGCATCCATGGCACACTACAGAACAATTCTAGAGCAGAACATTTCCCGCGGATAATTACCCGCAAAATTATCTATAAATGACTATTAAGTGTACATTTTCGAGGAAAAATTAGACTCCTCATTAAATGAGTAATTCGTTTAGCCATTTATAGTGATTCCTTCTAGAGTCTACAAATGACCGCTACGTAGGCTGTACATGCACTTCCTCTTCGAATTTTCAATTACACAAATCTCGGAAATCGGTGCCCAATTTCACCTGAAATTGTTACTTCATGTAGGGTTTTTGATCTAATTTCCGTCCTACTAAGCACAACCCGCGCCTTACCTCTCTTTGCTGAACGAGTTTAAACAAAAAATGTAATATTTCTGTCAAATATGACTTGCAAATTTATTCACCTTTCCATACGTACCGTTGGATTTGATAACGAGTCACAAATTGTTGAGATATTGTCTAAAATCTAACACTGCTTCTTGATTCTAAATTCGTTCTACGAGTTTCAATTCCGTCCTAACGCATTGAAACGCCATTAGATTTTCTTCGTCCTACGGATAAACGTAGAAAAAGGGGATTCGCTAGGAGCGCTTCTTTTGTTTTGAGAACAATGAGCGTAAATATTCATGCAATGCGCTCTAACAGGATTTATGTTGTAGCTAATGATCTAGCGCATCGGAACAAACCTATAATTGATTTGTGCACGTTGAAATCATTGATATTATTGATCTTTTCTGATCGATAGAACGGAAATGGGCGATTACGACGAAGTAGCGCTCTACCCTATGCTGCAGTGCAGCAAACGTGGAGTAACAATTTGAATGTTGCACGTGTCGTAGAAGCTGATATTTGTGAACTTAACGTTTAGAAGTTGTTCCTAGATAGCGATTACGATATATGAGTAACTATGACTCACAAACGAAAATATTTTACTCATGTATGCATTTATGGGTAACATTGTATTTATTTAATTAGTAGTGCCGGCTGACTGAGAAAATTTCCCTTACACAGACATCAAAATCAGGATAGTGAACCGTGACGAACGATACGACAGAAATATCCAAATGTTATTCAACTGTGAGAGTTTTCCTCAATTGTAAAACAAAATCTAATTTTCACCCATATCTCGATTACTTTTTCGAAGGGACGTATCAGCTTTTTAAACAATGCATTTGATCGTCAGTTTGTCGTAGCTGATAGTTCGCCCACGCATGCTAACACTACCATCAGATAGGGGAAATTTTCCCCTACCTGATAGTTGTTGTTAGTATGCGTGGACGAGCTACCAGTTACGCCAAACCGACGAACAAATGCATTGTTTACAAAAGCTGATACGTCACTTCAAAAAAGCAATCGAGATATTATTGTTTTCGTTCGAATCGTATTTTGCATACATTTTTTCTTATTTGTATGGAAAAAAACGGTTCGAACGAAAACAGAAATACGAGTGTTTACCTTGAGAGAACGAAGAGGATTCAACGACCAAAAATTGCTACCTTTCCTTTTGGATGCATTCCAGTTTTGTTTGAACCGGCACGGATGTTAATTTTCCAGTGAGAAAATGTTGTTCGTTGGTTGACTTGGTGGTTTGTTGAAGGGGGTTTTTTTTCTAGTGATTTTCCACTCATGCTTCTTCAACTGCTTCAGGTGGGAATTCCGATTGCACCACGAACAAATTGCTTTTAGTGTACCTATGCCTGCTTCCCGTGATGACGGCGATGGTGATTTTTGTTTTTCGTTTCCTAATTTTCTGCTGCGGCTAGTTTCTGATTTCCAATTGATTGCTCACTACAACAAATTCGGTTAATTTCAAATGTCTTCTCTACTAAAAGTACGATGAAAATGTGGACCACGACGGTTTGCCTTAGCCTGTGTTCGTTTCTTTCTCGTTCGTCAGTTTTACTTTCGATCTCTATTCCTGACCACACATACACCAAGAAAAGAATATATATCTGCAATTGTGTTGCGTTTCAAACTTCCCTTCCGTTCCGTACCACTTTGTTTTCTTGTTTGTTTTGTTTTCGCGCTTTCCTTTCCTGCTCTCTGCAGTGTAACTCTTCCAATTTGTTATTTGTATTCCTATTAACTTACATGTTTACAAACATTTTTTTGTTGTTTTTCTTCCTCTCGTAGGGTTTTTCTCTCATCTACGGTTGTTGCTGTTTTAATATAGTTTTTTTATATCTTTATTGTTATAAGTAATTTTTAAAATTAAAACTCTTTTGTTTTTTGATTACTAATTTACTTTGTTTTTCACATTCGCTTAGTCTCTTTCCAGAAATATATTAATTTTTTTGCTCTCTCCGTCTGGCTTTCGGGCTTATTTGTGTGTTTCTTCACATTTATGTTTTTTTTGATTTTACGATGTTTTCATCATTGTTTTCACAGGACTTTCCTTTTGTTTTGTTGTTTTTTGTTTAGAGTTGTTTCTTTCCTTTCTTTCAAATTACAATTATTAACACAGTTTAAAATGATTAAATCAATTGATATAACTCCTACGTAGTAATGCTTGTTCCTTTTTTGTATATCTCCTATAATGTTGTATGTATAATGGGTGTAGATATAGCGCTCGTGGGCAGAGAACCAAATCCTTTGCCGCACGGCTTCTGCACACGAAGAAAAAAGGGGTATATTTCCTGCCTTAACTTGGTACGCAATTTTTAAAAACGAAAAACTATCAAACAAAACTCAAACTCTCTCAGAGACGTTCCCGCACAACAACCGCTTCCACTCCGATCCGACCCATTCACACGACCATTCATTCCACATTCCTTAAACAATAGATAATAATTATATAAATTTATACAAATTGCAAACATGCATTTTTATAATCGAGAACTGTCCACAAAAACTAATAAAAAAGACGTAAGATCTTTGCTTATTCTCACCGAGACGCATCGTCTCTCTTTCTCTTGTCAAACTGGGACCTGTTTGTTTCTAAATCTGTCTGAAGGTAAGGGGTGTGACTCCTGCCCTGCCTGTCTCTATCTGTGTCTGTTGTGCTTTGGGGAGGCCGTTCTCCTAACCAATCAATCCTGTTCCCTTTGTCCTTATTTGTCTTCTTCCCTGTAAACAGATACGCACGACCACCGGGTCAACTCGTTTCCATTGTCCATCGCTCAAACCTAGCAAAAATTTCCTCCCCTATATTATACTGGAAGTTTAGCTTCATCAGTTGCGTTCCTCAAAGAACCTAACCTTGAAATGTTCCCTCTAAACATCGTTCGCGTTTTTCGGAGCTCGATTCGCGGCCGGTTTTTGTCGTGGCACAATAACCACAACCTGCTGCTGTTGTTGCTGCTGCTGCTGCTGGTGGACATTTAGGGTTGGACAAAAGTTTTTGAACCAAGGTTTATATCCCAGGGAGAATGGGTGGAGCGATATTGAATCTCGAAGAGAAAGTCTGCGGAATGAGTTTGCAACTCCCACCATATTCCAAACTCTGTAATTAGGGTAGCTCTATTCTGAGGCTCCATCCTAAACTCTGTAGCAAAGGGAAATTCCTTCTGAAGCCCCCCCACCCCATTCAAAACTCTGTAAGTAGGGGACGTTCGCTTCCGGAGGCTTCAGAGACTAACCAGCCCACGTATGACATTCTAGGTAAGGACCCTAGGATCTTTTTCAGTGGTTCTAGATACATCTTTCAAATGTTAGATATCTTTGGAGATGGTCTAGTTCAAAAAGTCTTTCCGAAGCCAAATAGTATCAGAAGGGAATGGATCTTACTGAGGATGTTCTAGGGTCTTTAAAAGGAAAAGAGGCTGTCTAAGGCACCTTTCTTCACGAGCTCTCGCATAACTAAATCGTTAAGTCCTTGTATTGAACCATTCCAAAGTAATTAGGCTACTATTTTTATTAAAAAGAGTTGCCGGAGTTTTCTTTTATAGAAGAACTTCCACACACATCTGAAAAGACCTCCCAAATGAGTTCGTAACATCATTTGGAGCAGATACTAAGGGCTGGTTTCCTAGCCTGCGCTTAAGTTGATTAAATACGCAGGTGAAGAAATCGACCCTTGTAGTCAGTTTCCTGACTCTCTGGATGTTTCTAAGCCACCAATTAATTTTATAGGGGAGGTCCCAAACTTGAAATCCTTTCAAATCGCCTATCAGATCTTTGGAGACCTTCGGTAACTACTGTGAGCCTTCCCAACTAGATTTGGTATAATGCACATTTGGCATAAATATGGAAAACTTATACCGATAAATAGTTCTTCGGTAAGTACCTCATGTTAAAAGAGCCGTTAATATTTAAGAACACATATTCATGTTCGATAAAAGCAATAAAATGCATTTATTTCAAGTTTATGCCAAATGGCAGTTATGTCCCGTGGGCATTATGTCAAACGGAGTATTCCCACCCAGACTCTGCACTCACAATTTTCAATGGAAATCAGAATTTCACATAATTTTCATATGATCTCATTATTGGGAATCTCACCATAAAAGCACATGAACCCAATGATTCATCACATAGATTTCACGTGATCATATAAATTTTATGTCCATTTCAGATAAAAATCATTATTTTTTTTATTGGAAAAATATCATGTGCGTTCTCAATGGCAACTTTTGTCAGTGTAGTTTTGAGCTTCCTGGGAAGGTTCTGACAAGAGTGTATTAGAGCCCTTGTTTGAGGATTTTTCTGCTGTTTTAGATCGACAATTTAGAAACTCCAAAAGGGCCTTTTTTCTACAGCCATTTGAACACAACTGTAATGTAATTAAGTAAAGTAATAATTAAATTCGACAGTCTCCCCCCTATTCTAGTCATGTGACCCTCTGTCGCTAATGAGGTGACTCTCAATTGTGCATTTGCACGGAGTGTCATCTCACACGACGTGACTTGTCTGTTCACTATTGACAAAGAATCACACTACTCGCAGAATAGGTGGGGTGGAGTGATTTCCCGAAAATGAAAATTATCTAAAGCAAACCACCGGAAACGCCGTGTAGGGGAAAAGGCCCTCTATGCGATTAAATTAATAGCTTTCGTGAATAAACTTTGATCAAATGCAAAATATCATGACACTCATGCGACACTCGTCAACGCATCAACCGACTATCGCTGACAGAACGTTTTGCCACGCAGTGAGAGGTAGAGCCATGGCAAACAACAATCACCAATAATGGTTGCTGCTCACAGGCAGAACGTAACACTCGCTTCGATGCTGATGATGAAAAGAACAACGAAAACAGTGAAGACTTCTGCAGTACGATGATGAGAAAAAGCGAAAAGACAGAAGAAAATGAATGCCTATTGAAAATGAAGCTGTTGGGCTCACTCATCAACACACTCACATAAGCAAGCAAAGCAGCAACTGGTTCAAAACGAGCACAGAATTGTCGGGAATGACCAGATCGGTGATGGATCACCACCGAAGACGACATTCACCAGTTGCTTTTTACTTCTTTCGTCAACTTGATGGATGGTCATGGAGAGTTCTTCGACAAGAACAACGATAGCAAGCATTACTACCATCAGCTGTTTGACGATCGTGATTGTGATAGGTCGCAACTCTGGCTGTCGATATGAAAGAACGAATTTATCTGAGCTCAATAGCTTTGCTCATCTCGAAACAGATTGCAACAACTTGCGAGCGTTCATTCAACCCATCCGAGCTACTCAGAGTTGCTTGTACTGGTGTTCCTTCAGTCAAAGTTCCACCAGCTTGAACTGACTCTATATTTGACACGAGTAATAAGGGCCTATTACGGGACATTAAGAGTCTCTAACCGATACAACGGCATAATTCCTCACGAACTGTACAGAAGCTCGCGCTGACATGATGAAAATAGCACAGCTTTTCAAGCAGGTGCTGACACACACTCCGCCAATACCATCAGCCTCTCGCTCACATGCTCTTCCTCCAGCTCTTCCGACGAGCCAGATGTCATGCAGGCGATGGTTTTGGTATAGAGTCCCTCTCACCCGAATGGATTAAAATTCAAGACCCCAACAGCCAGTGCTTGTGTAGTTCCTGATTGCAGGAAAATATCGACTGAGCTGAGAGCCAATTTTGGGGACGCCGATTGGGTGAGGGATACTTTATGGATAGCCGCCTGTTGCTCACAGTTCAACCAATAAAGAAATCAAGGTCTCCTACATATACTTACTCTTTCTAGATTATACAGTGGAATGTTTTGCACCTCCCTCGTCAACCTCCTTCTTGAAGGAGTTGAGCAATATTAGTTTTTTTTTTTAGTTTTCAAAAACACATGAAAAGCAACGTTCATTTTAGAATACTACCCGCCCGGACGTTCCCGTCCCTTAACATAAGGGATCTGAGTGATCCGGACCTCGGAAGTTCCCCTTATTCGTCCAGCATGTCAAACGAATAAGCGAACAAACACGCGCACGCGTAACCTCTCTCGACTCTACGTTTGATATGTACACAGTCACTAAACAATAGTTGTAATATATTAAAAACCAAAAGAGTGACAGGGTGGTTTAGCAGATTGCTTTTCATAACGGAACAATTTCCGCCACATGGGGAAGGGGGGTATGCCAAACTTAGATTGAAGAACCCTGACGTCAGCAGCAGTAGCATCAGATTTGTGGCACCGTGTCTTACCGTAACCGATCTCACCTACAGCAGCTCAATTGCCTTCCTAACCTACACACACCGCGCCTGTTTCATTTAATCACTTTTTGTTTCGATTTGGGTGGGGGAGTGCGGCGACTACGTGTATGTTGGGGGGGTGATAAGGGGGGAGGGGTTTAGGACTATCCTGGAAGAATTACTAACCATTCTGGTTCTAGGAAGAAACCTGCCTTGATGCGTTAGTTTGTGTCATTTTCAACAATTTGCTACCTGATTTGCTTGCGGAATATTTTTCCAATCAACACTTTTATATTTCGTAACACTTCCTAGCTAGTAAAAGATGGCGGTAACAGACGACGATACCCAACACGTGGAATAAATATCTATTTAAAAAAGACAAGTGCGCTTACCATTTGTTTGTCTTTCCCTGCCACGGCGCAGCACCACTCCGGGGACAAATTAAAACGTTTCCTACCTTTTCTTCCTAATTAAGCGACAGCATTTGAGAAAACATTGGACACTGAATGAAAACTAACGCCTCCCAACAGAGCTGCTGGGTGGGATTGCCTAGGTGGATGATTGCTGCTTGCTGCCGCTGCTGGTGGCATCCAGCGGATACTTGAGTGTCGTCTGCAGGGTATCGTTGTGCTCCTCCAGTGAGTTGGTAGCGTAGTGCAGTACCAACGACTTGAGCGAATCGTAAATGTTGTACGGTTCCGCAAATCCAAAGCCCCGTTCCGTTTGCTGGATGATACAGTGATTGACCGTATCGTTGCACTTGATGGACAGGGCATAGTGGCCCCCGCTGCCGGATCGTATCACGAACGTACCGTTTGGCTTGGGTGCCAGCTCCCTCTCGGCTTCCGTCCGATTGAAGTGCGGCTTCAGCCAGGAGCTCTCGTCATTGTGAGGCATTTCCTGGCTGCCGTGACTGTGAGAAAAGTAGCCATCCGTTTCCATTTGTTTGATTTGACCCTCGCTGACACCCTGCCGTTTCAGTTCCTCCACGTAGCCAAGCTTTTCTTTGCTCAGGGACATGATTATCGGATTGAGCTTGTTGATTTCTCGCTCCAGCATCCAGATTCGAGTTTTCTCCTTATCCATATCTTCCTGGAGTTGATCTTTGCACTGGTTCAACTCCTGCATCCGGTCCCGTATCAACTTGTTGTTGGTATTGATGCCTTGCTTCTCGTGAGGCTGTGCCTCGTTCACAAACTTGGCCTGTATCGTTAGCTGCTCTTGGAAAAGTCTTTCCGCTTCGATAAACGCTTCCTGGGCTTGCTTCTTCAAATCGACTTGATTCTTGGCCGTAGTGTACTCATCCGTCAGTTTTACCCGGTCCTGTAGCTTCTCGTTCAACAGCTGAGCCGTTTCGATAAACTTCTGCGCTAACCGGGGAGTGTCGTCCCCTGCGCTGCAGATGTAGTTGTCGTCTTCAAATCGCGAGATCGGGAACGTTAACTTGATGTCCAGAATCGTGTTGTACTCCTTCAGTGAGACATTGCGGTAAAAATTGATCAAGTCCACCACACTGTTGTGGCTGCAATCTTTCGTGAAGCCATATTTGCCCATCGAGTGGAAGATTTTGATGACGCGATCCGTACCGTCCTTCTTCAGCGTGAGCGTATATTCGCCACCTCCGCTGGTGGCGTCCCGCACCAAGAACGAACCGTCCTGTGCATCGGTCATCTTTTCCTTGACCTCGTCCCGAGTGATCTTGCCCCAGTACCACTCGGCCGCCCTAAGATCGGCTGGCGTGTCGACATCGCCGACCATTCGGAACATGGCCGTCCCCCGATTATCACCGCTGGTGGAGCCGCTGCCACTGCCTCCACTACTACTACTGCTACCGGTATTATTGTAGATCGTCCCTCCAATCAGGGGCGATTGTATCACAGCTGCCGGAGACGTGATGTTTGGTTTCCTCATGCTGCCCATTCCGCTACCGCTGGATGACGAATAACCACTGGACGAAGTACCGGGGGTTTGCTGCAGTAAGGTCTGCTGCTGCTGTTGTTGTTGTTGCTGTTGCAGAGAGGCCGTACTACGGGAAATTTTCCGTGGGGGCACTGCCGGCGCGGATGCAAACTCAGGTAGCATCTCGTTCCAGTCGACCTTGTACAGTAGCAGTTCCATTATCCGCAGGTGGTTTTCCGTGTTGTACACGATTTGACTGGAAAACAGAGAAGATGTGGGATTGAGATTAGAATGGGGTCTTCGTTGATATTTTCGAGAAAAAAAAAGAGAATTTAATATAGATGTTTGAGATTATAACAATGACCCCCTCGGGAAGTGCTTGGAGCTCCGGTGTACTCTCGTTGATTCGGAAGTTATCGATGTTACAAAAAGCGAAGCGTGGAAGTACTGCATAGAAAAATGAGCAAATACACAAACCTTTCTTCTGAGGTTGTAATCTTTGCTATCAAAATCGTTTGAAGCATTTACCGTTGCGCGGCAGATTGTTTATTGTTTATTGAAAAATTCAACTGACAATTATTGTCTAAATGAATAAAACTTAAACTAAATAGTTACGGTCAACGGTACGGAAATGGCCAAGTAGCCGATGAAGAAACACGTCAGCTGATACATTGAAGTCGAACATATAAAAAAAGTTGTTGAATTGCCGGCTGATTGCTCGTGTTGTGTATAATTCCGGCTCCGTGGTTCCAAAAACAGAAAGTCGCGTTGACGAAGAGACCTCTCAGGGGCATACATATTTAGATTAGATCAGCTAAATTATTGTGGTTGAATTATGGGGATACAATTCACTTCATGCACTGCTAATCCACTATATATTCAGCCTGGTGTTAATCAGCATTGTACACCTTAAATCAGTCAATAGTCAGCTTCTGTTCTTACAGTTCAGCATGAATTGTTACTTGGGAATGACTTCCGTTTTAACTCATCAGTAGAATGTCGCGAGTATTTTAGCTAAGTAATAAGTTCTATTTTATCAGTTAATGTGCACGTTAGTTATTCCCTATTAAGGAAGACTTTTCATTGACATACCAAGGTTTCCCGTAAATACAAAATAAAGAATTTTTCACAGAATGTTGATGATAATACCTATGGAATTTTGAGGAGAATTTAAAAGGAATTAAGGGGAGACACCTGTTGAAATCTCTACACTGAGGCAAAACAATCTTAAGAATTCCATAAGATATGACTTATGAACCTGGACAATTTTGATTTCATAAGATACTTATGAATTTTATATAGGCATAAGTTATGCCTTTCATAAGTACGACCCATGAATGATTATCGTAATACTTGGGGTACTACGAGTGGTTCTTATACAACTTTACACCTATTCTAATTCCCAAGCGTTGATAGACGTGAGAACAAATCACTGAGTCATATAATCTGAACACTCAGAATTCGATTCCGGTCTATTACTTTTGACGTTGGATAACGTCTTTCGGCAACATACGGGGGTACAAAATTGAAAACAGTCATTTTGGATGCGTTACGAAAAATTAAAAGATTTTGAACCATAATAACTCAACCGTCTCTCGATAGATTTACGAGATAATGGCATCAATCGATTGGAAATATTTCTAGCAATTTGCTGAATGTTTCAAAAATATTGATTTCATTCTGTAAACTATTGAAAAATGATTAAAAGTAAACCATTGTCTAAAAATGGTGAAAATCGATTGATTTTTTTATATTCTTATACTTTCTCCAACCGAGACATCAGATGCGAGTATCTGACACCTCTGATATTTTCTGTTCTACTATATAAGCGTCCAACAAGGTCGCCCGTTCCATCATTGTCTATCCGATCGTCGACCCAGCAGCAGAGCAGCAGAGCAGCAGTACCAGAGCAGCGGAAGCAGAGCAACGGCAGCAGAGCCTGGGGGCGAAAGGGCAACTACGCCGAGTGCGTTGGTGCCAGTGCTCCGGTATACTGGGCCACCGTCATGGAATGCCCAGCTGCTGCAGTTCTCAGTCGGTCGTATTCACCGCATGCTCCGCAAGGGCAACTACGCCGAGCGCGTTGGAAAAAGGGCCACAACATTATCAAGAAAGAGTTTAACGATTAATTTTCTAATGCCTTTCCGACACTTTTTTCATATGACTTTCATCGGCCTCATGATATTCATGTGATATTGTGGTGGGATTTTTAGCTATGTGAAATTCACATGGTTTTCATCCATTAGATACCTATTTGGTAAATTTTTTGAGTGTATGCTTCGGCAATCAAAATATTGAATTTCATTCCGCTGCATCCATTTAGACCATAAGTCCAGGGCCACCGCAGCTCTGCAAGGTAGGGGAAATAGATCTAAGATTGGGCCCATCGCTAAAAATCTGCTATTTACCATTCTTATCTATATGAACGCGTCGTTGGGACGGTACTTGTGTGGCATATGTTAGAGCTAGTGTAAGCGGGTCTTAACTTGACGCTTAACTAGTCAGCAAGCCGTGCGTCCAGCTCGTCGATGTCAGCGCCGTTACAGTTCAATGCCGTTATACGGCGAGCTCGATGGCAACGCTTCAATGAACACGCACGGACAACTCCCAGACTTTCGGACCATCTCTCAACGAGGTAAGTCACACAGTACTGATGGATATTTTAGGGCGCTATTGAAAATTTAGTCGATAGTTTAATTTTAGATATGGATGGAATAATAACACTGCACTGCACTTGGAATTCAAGACACGCCTACACTAATCAACCATCATCGAACCTACTCGATGAGGATATCAATTAACTAGGGAGAGCATGACAGAAAGATTCAACCATGTTTTAAATGGATTCATTTTATCACTCCTTGCGCACCACGAAGGAAACTGTTTTGAAAACGAAACTCTTTACCATCAAATTGGTCGTCCTGAAAAGGACGGATTTTGTTAAAGGGTGGAAACTTCGATCGAATTTAGGCCTCCTTTTCGGTCTTCTTGGGCAACAGGACGGCCTGGATGTTTGGCAGGACACCACCCTGAGCGATGGTCACTCCGGAAAGAAGTTTGTTCAGCTCTTCGTCGTTGCGGATGGCCAACTGCAGGTGACGTGGGATAATTCGGGTTTTCTTGTTGTCACGGGCGGCATTTCCTGCCAACTCGAGAACTTCAGCGGCCAGATACTCCATCACCAAAATGGGATGAGTGTCGGTTGTCTCTACGGGCATGAAACGAGACAGCGTTGCCAGTATTCCTGATTTATTTGATTTTCCAGATTTTCAATCGTCTTGCCAGATACTTACCCCGATATAATTCACTTATATGTTATTACGTTTATTTCAAGAATTTTTAATTATGTTCCGGATTTTCTCAGATTTTTTAAATATGTTGCTTTAGAGAATTTCCAGCCCAAAACGAAAACCGGTTGGACATGAGCGTTTCCGAATTCAGTCCAATAGAGGCGATGGGGGCAAGAAGACCATACGGGGCGAGATGGGCCACCGTTCGTTTGGGCATAATACCTATTAACTCAATCTATTTTTTTTTACAAACTTGTTGAAAATGCTTCTAATATGCATCTCCATGAAAACTGTATCAAAATTCAATTACATGTCTAAGATAATAATGGAAATGTAACATTAGCTCAAAATCTCTAGAATATTATAAGATATGCAGTCAAGAAAACAAGCATCGCATTCACTATATTACATTTTACTGATTCGCTGGTTCTTCAGCGAGCAATACACGTAACTGTTGCTAAAAGAACTTATGTATCTATTTCACTTGATTCCTGCATGTTATTTTCTAGTGAAAACCTGTCAAAACCTTAACTTTTACTGGGGTGCTCATATTGCCCCGTATGGTTGTTGATCGGAGCAAAAACTGAAATTTTTCAAACATAATCATAATCAGTCTATCATTCCAAAACCACAACCAAAACGGCCCTTTTCAGGGCCACCAATAATTCGACAAAGAGTTAGTTTTGAAGACAATTTCTTTCCAGAGTGATATTCTAGTTACACTTAAATTTGGGGACTATACTGGGGTGTGGGAACGCTGGAAGGGGAGATGCTGTCTGTCTTCGAACTACCAACATTATTCCAAAGCTCCTCCAGGGCGACAGAGTAGAGTAAACCCAACAACATCAGCCCAACAAAACGGCCCTTTTCAGGGCCATCAAACTTTCGCAAAAATATAATATACACAATTAAGTACAACACATAACAGACGTTATCCAACGCCAACCCTGCGGTCGTATCTAGTATACAACCCTTCCAACTTTTTTAAGTTTAATAAGCTAACGTATGAATTTTGTTGCATAAGCCAAACTTATGATTTCCATAAGAAATCCTTTTGTCTAAATTTCATAAGCGGTTCTTATGGAATTATACGTTCCTTTGGCTGAGCGTAAAAAAGGGTATTTTCTGTTATTTTTTTTTTTCAGAGCATTAGAATAAATGCAATCACTTCGCGTTTCCAGTATGCTAAAGGGTGATACGGTCAAAATTTGGTCAAGGGAAAACGCGTGTAAATCGGTGAAATCGTTTATTTAAAAAATCAAATTAAATTTCTTTTTCAAGTTCAATTAGTATAAAATTCAGGAAAAATATTCAGTTAGGCTTCCGCTTTTCCAAATCCGAATTGCCGGGCCTTACGCTTGACCCCTGCCATCAGATTTTGTACAGCCACCTTGTCCACCTTCTTCGCCGCAGAAAGCCAGTTTGCCTTGAACTGCTGCTCGCCCTTAGCAGTTTTTTTGGTCTTCTTTAGGTTCCGCTTGACAATAGCCCAGTATTTCTCAATTGGGCGGAGCTCTGGCGTGTTGGGAGGGTTCTTGTCCTTGGGAACCACCTGCACGTTGTTGGCGGCGTACCACTCCATGGCCTTTTTACCGTAATGGCAAGATGCCAAATCTGGCCAAAACAGTACGGAACAACCGTGTTTCTTCAGGAAAGGCAGCAGACGTTTATTCAAACACTCTTTCACGTAAATTTCTTGGTTGACAGTCCCGGAAGCTATGAAAATGCTGCTTTTCAAGCCACAGGTACAGATGGCTTGCCAAACCAGATATTTCTTTGCGAACTTTGACAGTTTCATGTGCTTGAAAACATCTGCTACCTTTCCCCTTCCTTTTGCCGTTTAAAACTCCTGTCCCGGAAGCTGCTTGTAGTCGGCTTTGACGTAGGTTTCGTCGTCCATTACCACGCAGTCAAACTTCGTCAGCATCGTCGTGTACAGCCTCCGGGATCGCGCTTTGGCCGTCGTATTTTGTTTATCATCGCGATTTGGAGTCACTACCTTCTTGTAAGTCGATAGTCCGGCTCGTTTTTTGGCTCGATGCACGGTTGTAGACGATACACCCAGCTTATTTGCGGCATCTCGGAGAGAGAGGTTAGGGTTTCGCTTGAAACTACCGGCAACTCTCTTTGTCGTCTCAGCGGCTTCCGGTTTTCGATTTCCCCCCGATCCAGACTTTCTGGCTGTCGACAAACGTTCCCCAAACACTTTAATTACATTTGTAACGGTTGATTTGGCAACTTTTAGCGATTTTGCCAACTTTGCGTGCGAGTAGCTCGGATTTTCGCGATGCGCGAGCAAAATTTTGATACGCTGCTCTTCTTGCTTGGACGGCATTTTGACAACTGAAGAGTGAATTCCAAAATCAAAATAGGAGCAACATTCTACACACACACACCTTCAAAATGAGGGGTGTTCAGGTTTTTTAAATGCACAATTGAAAGAAATACGTCAAGTTGATATTGACCAAATTTTGACCGTATCACCCTTTATTAAGCAACATTTCAGCTTTATTTTCGAAAAAGTAGAAGGGTCTGTGCCTAGGGGCACGAACGGAAGTTTGACGTAGGACCGCTAGTGGACGGAACAAATGTGAACATTTAGTTCTTATAATTGATCAATCATCAATCATCATAACTCTTTCCGTTTTTTATTTGTAAGCGTATCAAATTTGTAGTATTTATTTCAAAGAGAAAGTTGATGAAGAGAATCCAAGGGACTGTCAACTTGAGTATTATCGATACATCTACCCGACTTTAAAAGGTGTATTTTGAATTTTTTGTTATTTATAAATTTTTATGTTTTGTGTATTTTGGTATTAAAGTGTATTCAATTCACCCCTCACAGGATTTCCTTCCGAATTATATGAATGGGGCGGGGCGGAAAGTATCGTTTATGCAGAATATGTAAAAAAAAGGAGGGACTTCGAGAGATTGAACTCGTGAGAGCTAATTTTCTCACAAATTTGATTTTATTGGCTTTCTGGGGACTGAATATACACCCAAAGCGAATTATTCCCACTTCCCTCAAATTCTATATGGATTTTTAACAGTTCCTGCCAGCGTGTTCTGGAATATGGTCGAACGATGATTAATCTCACCAATACATTCGGGCCTACAATTCCACACCTTATATAGAGACCAGGTTGAGCCTTGATAGCTAGCTGCTTGCGGGAACTGATGACCTTGACCAATGTCCAAATAACACTCTTTTTTTGGTGGCCCTGAAAAGGACCGTTTTGTATTGATGGTTGAGTAATTCTGAGCTGGGTGTTCAACACGGATGAGGCTGTCGAGCTGTATGTCGTTTGGAGCGAGGGTGACACGCTTGGCATAGATGACCGACCCGCAGCGACTCACGAAGAGCTACTGATTCCGATCCATAGCATAGCGGTGCAGCTTCTTCCTCCTTTGATGGTTGCTTATGTGGGCTCTGCAGCTCGCTGCTTGCAGGCAGCCTTTCGTTGTTACTGGAGAACAATTTTCAACGCCACACGCCGAAAGCACTGCTACTGCTGCTACTAATTTCGACGACCGAACACCACCACACAGTGGTGTGGTCGTTGGGAGCGTGTGGTTCTGAGTATGGCGATGAGTGTGCAAAATATTACGCAATTCCATCCTCCCTATTCGCACGCGCCCGAGGATCGGAGGCGAACGCCACTTCGACTTGTTTGGTCTACTTACTACTCTCTGACGACTGTGCTGGGGAAGCAGCATATGCATGTAGGTAATTGGTGGATTTGTTAGTTAATTCGACACTTTTGGACAATGCTGGACATTTACCAGTTTTTCTCTAGTTTGTTGTTAAAAATCAACATTCGATGCGTAGCCATATTTCTGATCGATTAGTGATAAAATTATTGAAATTGGACCAGGGGCAGCTGAGTTATTAAAGTTCAAAATCTTTCTTAATTTGTTACATGTTCCATTTTCGGTTTTCACAAAGTGTACTCCCATATAGAAATCAAAGACGTAGTCCTACGTCAAAAAATTAGCCTAATATATTAATATTTCCGCTTTGGGTAGCAGTGCTGACATTTGTCATTGTCATTGACAGAATATTGTGCGATATTGACGAAATTGTTTTTCACATAGTCACTGATAGACTTGATCAAAAAAAAAACCTTTGTCAAAACCACATTCATTTTTTTTCACCTGGTAACAAAAAGTGTAATTTCGTGCATTATGAATCACATTATTGTTATCCACGCAGTTCAGAACGTAGATGCTTGTTCACTTTAACGGCTCCATGTAATTATTTTGCTCAAGTCATATAAATTCGTTTCAAATTTAGCTACTAAAAATCTGCAAAAGTTCTGACAATGCTCGCTGACAATTGACATGGTTTGTCTTGACGATGACTGTTAGCTCAAATAAGTGTAGTAATGAAATTGGGTTGTTAGCGGAATGCTAAATAAAACAGCAAAAAAGGTTATCTTCCATTTAATTCCACTTAATTAATTTTGGTATCCATGACAGATACGTATTTCGACTACAATGTGCAGTCTTCATCAGTGTCATTCTCACTAAAGAACTTTTCAAAATCTAACCCCCTTAAGTACTCATCCCCTAGGTAAAAAAGTCAAGATCATAGGTATATAAATAAGTGACCAAAGCATAATTTTGAATATCGGCATGTAGGGTAGAGAACTACTTCGGCCTAATCGCCCATTTTGGGCCTATCGAGCAGAAAATTTCAAATAAATCCTTGATTTCAGAGTAAACAAGTCAATTATGCGTTTGGTACGATACTTTAGTTAATAAGCTACCGAACGAAGTCAATGAGAACGCGTGGTATGAAGGTTTGCACCCATAATTCCCAAAAACAAAAGAAGCGCTCCGACCGAATCAATTTTTATCTTCATCCGATAGGCCGAAGCGAATTCATTGGCGTTTCAATGCGTTAGGCCGAGTTTAGAATCCGTAGGCCGAGTTTGGCGTCAAGAAGCAGTGTTAGACTTTTGACAATATCTCAATGATTGGTTTCTTTTTATCAAATCTTACGGTACGTACGGAAAGGTAAATAAATTTGGAAGCCACGAGTAATAATAACATGCTGTTTGGTGCTAAACTGCGCTAGATTAAGAACGACTAAGTGCGGGTTGTGCGTAATAGGCCGGAAATGGGGTAGTTAATCCTATTGTCGAGATTTTGCAGCACTGACTCTAAGACTCTAAGTGGTATGTGAATCTCTAAAATGACACCATTCTAATGTTTCTTCTTTTTTTCTTCTTTTCTTTATTTAACGTCGGTCTTTGTTTCGCAATCTAACGAACATCGATTGCCATCCATTGACGGCAATCGAATGTGCAGGAAGGCAGCTTCCACACCTGCGTAGGATATCGCACCCATTCAACACACATGGGCCGGGACCAACGGCTTTACTTCCCTTCCGAAGGAAGACGTGACCAGAGATTTTAATGCCTCAGAAAAATTCCACCGGCCTCGGCTGGAATTGAATCCAGACCCATTGAGGTGAGAAAGCAGTCACGCTTACCACTACACCACCGGCGCCGGCTAATTCTAATGTTTCAGCAATATTAATTTTAGACCAGAATGGTAAAGAAAAAAACAAAATGAAGGTTTTAAGCATAATCATCAAAAGAAACAAGCTTGGCGAGTTTTGGCAGGCTTTCATTAAGAATTTCATCCATAAGTCACTCAGTAATTCTCATCGAATTCAAAATTCGCCTGAAAATTTTCGTCCAGAATTCTCTCATAACTCTAATGAGGAGGGTGACTTACCCATTGTTTGTACCTCTAAAGTAAAGCTTAAGTTCATTACGAAAATCCTTCAAAACGGGTATTAAATCAAATTCGAAATATGTCTCAACTAAGAGGCAGGTATATCAAGAAGACTTTAGCATGCAAAAACCGTTTTGATGAATAATCAAGATTGCAAAAATAGCCTGATACAGACAAAGGGTTAATGGATCATCCCTTTCGGTAATTCCATCAGTCATCGTTGCAAGCCCATGCGGATATAAAGGCACACAAAAAAAAACATGAAACTAATAACCGGAATACATACACAATTTTCTCCCAGGGAGGACGCAACAGAATATGGCACCAGACTTGTATCAGTATCGTCGGTTGGTCCTTGATCCCCCGCTGGCACTGCATTCGACAGATTCGTATCAAATGGATCATGATGTACTTGAGCGTCATGTTGTGATAGACCGGGAGGTCCTGGATGTGCAACCGAAGCTGTTCCACCGCCACCGCGTCGCTGATGATCTCTGCAAGGACAAAGTTGAGAAATCAAACAATCCGATTGGTACAGGGGGAAACGAATTCCAATAAACATACTTGAGGCGTCCACAAACTTGTCGTAGAACAGAACCGGAATGATCGGATCGGGCAGCTCGCGGAGAAACTTCTTCAGCACCGTGGCCACGCATTCGGGCGAGTAGCTGCTGAGATCGGTGTTGATTAGGTTCTCGTTGAGCGAGTCACGCAGTTTGGTCACCTCATCGTAGTTGGGCGGTGTCGTTCGATACAGTTTGTATAGATCTAGGTTATTGTCACTCATCGCTTTCTGCTCGAGCTCATTGCAGAGTATTATGACAATTTGCGGGGCCGGCAGTTCGGCCACATTGAACTGATGGCACAGGCCCAAACCAAACACCGGTTGCATTCGGTTGACCGTCGCCACCGGCGCTGTCGTCGCCGTCGTCGTCGTTGTCGTCCGACTGCCAGTGTCTGCTGTACACGGCTTAAGTCCCGTGGCCGAACACTGCCGGTGGACAATGAGATTACACTGCTTGCATAGCAATCCCTGATGTATCAGCCCACGCAAGTACTGCTGACACTTATCACATTTAACCAGCTTCAAGAACGAATGGTCTACTAGGTCGTGCGAGTGCTTGCTGCCGAGTGGCGCGTCGCTGTCTTCACCGGCCATCTTCAGCACAATGCCGCCGCTAGTGGTCCGATTCGTTCCACCGCTTTGGATAGGCTTCTCCGCACTCGTCAGCAAATCCTTTATGGACGCTAGGATTGTTTGCTGATGGAATTCATTTTTAATACCCATTTGCTGCAGGAGAAAAAGAAACATGAAGTAATTATACAAAGTGTGAAATCACAGTTCGAAACCTACTCCTAGTTTATCACGATCCAGGTTCGATAAATCACAGCCTTTTATATCTTTCGCTTTGAACACGTCAGCGTAGGTGTACAGGTTGTTCGCAGCCATCCATTCCAAAACGTTCGCTGACGTCCACTCGTTAATTGACTGCAATGGTTGAACCGCCGATTGTCGATTTTGATTACTAGGCGAATTTGTTGCGCTTACCTTGTCGGTACTGTAGGTGGCCGGCATCTTCGGATAAACGTCGGGATTTCTTTGGCACATATCGTGAACGGCTAGCGGTAAGCACTTGATGTGGAAACACGACCAGCATTCTGAGGGGAGAATCGAATCCAAAGTGAGTAATGATAATAGCGGAAATTTTTTAAACTATTGAAAAAAGGCATCCTTACGTCTACACTGTCGTCCTTGCAGTCCGAGCCCCCAGATGTAGTCGCGACCTGTGGTTGTGGTGGTAGTAGTAGTCCAGCGGCGTCAATTTCCCGGCGACACGCGGAGAGTGGGTGAGAGAGGGATACAGAGAAAAGAAAGCAACGAGTCAGTGATTATCGACTCTGCTCATATTGCCCCTTATGTTTTTTCTTTGTGTGGAATACTTACAAAGTAAACAGATAATAGGAGTTACAAAATAAACAGGTACGGTCGTGTGACATTTGTTAATGTTTTTATTACTTAATTCATCCACTTTATTAACTATAATGATAATCGATAATGAATCGGTATTATTTTTCAAATATAAGAGGCAATATTTGGAGGAAAAATTGGAATTGTAATATGTTTATTGATTGGTGCAAAGAAGGGAAAAGGCGTTCGCTTGCTCCTTGATTGCTTTCTCCCTGAATTGCTGGAATTGATTCGATTTCTACAACTTAACTAACAGTCCATTTTACTTCAAAACAGCAGGGAGAGAAAAATCAATGTGGGTACACACAGACCAGATACCTATCTATTTGTCGATTTGATGGAAATGCTGAAAATATATTGGTGCTTCCCGCGAAAGTAGTCGCAAGCGAAAATCATACTTCATCGTTTTCAGTGAAAACTCGCTCAGCACAAATATATTTCCAATACAAAAAACAATGTTCTGTACATCTAACCACCATTCATATGGAGTGTATTTACAATCAGCGAGAGAGAACGAAACGTTAAATTTTCAAGCAAGCAAACGACACTATCGCGTTAAGCGTATTTCGCTGCAAACATGACAAGTTGCTTGAAAATTTACAGTTCACGCTCTCCGCACCAGTCACTAACATGCATATCCGGACCAAGAGTCTCCATTCTTGTTTGTTTGTTTGTTAATCTATGAACAGCGATTAGAGTCAAACATTGCATCAAACCGTACGGTACACATACACAGTGTGATATTTTACTCAGAACAGTTCAGAATTTGTGAAACTAAAGCTTGCAGAACTATTATATTCGCAGGACGGTAGTGTGTAATCATCAGGAATATAATTGGTCATTCATGTGATGGTTTGTAGAAGGATAATCAATCAAAAAGTTTTAACATTTGCACTTCTTGATTTATTTTGATTCGAGGAAGAAGAAGAAAGCGTTTTGATTGTCGTTTTTTTGGAAATTATTATTGCATTTATTGCAAAATTACTTGGGAATAACTTTGTTTAAGAATTTATTTCACTGAAATCTATGGAGAAGACAGTCAGAGAAAAATACGTAGGTTATTTTTGAGGGATTTGTAAACTCTCTCTCACTGAGTTGACAATCACCGTTAGCTCTAATTCACAGCTTGTATGTATTATTAAAAATATTAATAACTACAACATTGACTTGGAATTTTGTTCAGAATCATCTTTGACTTCACCGCTGACGTCGTCTGAAAATTCTTCCAAAATTTCCAACACACTAATCCAGTAATACATAGTAAGGTTTTACTTGGTTTTTTTAATTGCAGAACTGTAGAAAAAAAATGAGAAATTTTATTCCGAACTTGTACAGACTTAGTTATGTTAATCCCATTTAATGACAGAAAATAAAATTTGTTGATTTCTTACGGATAATGGTCAATTGAATTTGTATCAACTTTTCAGCAATTCAAAAGCCCAGTAAAAAATACTGACTCAAATAAAATAATCTACGTGAGTAGGCATAGGTTCCTAGAAATTCACCAGGGAATTGGATTTAAAGTCACCCGGGAATTTTCTTGGAATCCTCATCGGATTTTTTTGTTATTCCCCTTGAAATTCTAATCAGTTTTTTTTCTTCAAATTATCCTCCCTTTGAATTCATCAGAATTCCCATTAACTTTTCTCAGAATCTCCTAGAAAACGATCCTTGAAATTCCTTTTAATATTCCTAACAGAATTCTATTGAAATTATCCTCAGCTTTTCGTTGTGTAGGGTGTGCTACCTGAAAAACCTGGAATATTAAGGGAATTTAAAAATTCTCGTGTGAATGAAGCTATTATCTACAAATTCCCATGTAATTCTGCTCAGAATTCCTTTTAATCTAACGCGTCATTGTGACGGTACTAATGTATATTTTTGGTCGCTATTGAATGGACCCAAATTAGGGGCATTTAGGCCGGCATTACATCAGCAACCTGTGCACGACACAGGTGTAAACAATTAAAAAAATGCATTTAGATTTTTATAGATTACTAGCTGAGTGTGCCCGGTCTTGCTCGGAATTCAATATTAGCTTGAGTTTATGCGCCGATTTAAAAAAAAAGCATGCTATATTGTACGTTGCCCCCCCCCCCCTATTATCTAAGGGGCTACCCCCTATGATTATCTCCTTATACCCCCACATGCCTAATTTGGTTCCATTTGCTTGATTAGTTCTCGAGTTATGCAGAAATTTCTGTTTCATTTGCATGGGGAGGGGTCTCGAACCATCATAAGAACCTTCCACGGCCCCAAAAACCCCTGTATACAAATTTTCACGCCAATCGGTTCAGTAGTTTCCGAGTCTATACGGGTCAGACAGACAGACAGACAGAAATTCATTTTTATATATATAGAAGATATATATGGTCACATTATAGCTGAACTTCTTTACTCCAGACCACAAAAAGGGTTAAATTCAGTTGTGATGGTCTGCCTAATCCCTAATGCATTGATTTCTAAGCATGTTGATATCACTACCATGACAAAACTCGTTAAACAGTGCACCTAAAAGCGAGCTCTTTTGGGTGGCGGGTGGCAAGTTTGTGAATGGTCAAATGCCTGATGTAAGCCAAACAGACCTTCTTATCACCTCTTGAAACATACCACACATTTTCCACAATACATGGCGGTTTGCACCACTGGTTCCCCCTTATTCTGCGAGTCACGTGACTCTCTGTCACCGGTAGGGTGACAATTGTCACCTCGTGTGAGGTGACTCTCCATGCAAATCAAATGGAGAGTCACCTCACATGAGGTGACTATTGTCACCTCATCGGTGAGAGAGAGTCACGTGACTCACAGAATGGGGGGGGGGGGGTTGTAATTCAAGCTTTCAGCAGTCACGCATCAAACGGGAGCAACACGGAAACAGCAGTCTGGTACGCTTTGGACGTTATCATACTTGCAGACCGGTTTGAATGTGTGAGTTTAAATTAAAAGAACATTTGTGATGTATGGGTGCCCAAAGTGTGCATTTCTCGCTGTGCACTTGGATATCTGATTGCAGACAAAAAGAGTAATGAAGAAAGAGAGCGCAAAAGCCGGCTCTCACTCTCTTGTCAGTTGTGAATCTCTCAATTACCGATAGTTGCGCCGGTACGCCTGTCAAAACTTATGAGCTTCCCCTGGTTCATTCTGATGTTGTTCTGATGAATAAAAATGTTAATTAATTCAAGTTCGCTACCCAGGGGACTATGAATTTTGTTTGTATCAAAAAATGTTATCGGAAGTGTTTGACGGATATTCTTTATTACACTTCAGTCGAAAGATAAAAACGAGAATTCAAGCTGAACATTGTATTAGGTCCTAAGTAACATTGACAGATTCTCTCCGTCAACATTCTCTTTGTATCTCCACGGCCATGTAAATACATTGCCAAGTATTTTCAGCACACAGATCGATAAAAGAAGCCTTTATCTAGCATCTAAAACGACAAACACAACAAGAAATGGTTATGTGCTCAAGTTATTAATGAAATAGAAAGTCGACGAAGAGAATCGATCAATATTACTTAGAACCTAATGCAATGCTCAGCTGGAATTAGTTAAGTTTTGCAATTCCTCCTACTTCGGTTAGCGCGAAAAGGACCATGCAAGTTTTGTTCATATAAGATGATAGGTTCTTCAAATGTTACGTTAGGTAGTGATTAATATAGTGATGGAGAATATGTCCCTCGAATTTATGGAGCATTGAAACATAAAACAAAAACTAACATGTGGTTGGTGTATAGGTAAACAAATGAGGCACGCGACGCCTCTGCATTACATCCATTTCTCCTACCTTGAAAATTTTCTCACTGTTTTAGTAGAATATAATCAGAATTTTCATTGAAATTTGTTTCGAATTTGTTTTGAATTGTGAGTAGCGAATTTTAAACACAATGGCCGGGTTTTGGAAGGAATTTACTAGCAACAATTCTTGATGTGACAATTGAAAGCAACTTTATTCTGGATGTTAGAAGGTTAGCTCTACTGCAGATTCAGCAACGCATTTCAGAATGCCTATTAAATCACGTCCATTCTTGTCAGAATTTGTTTAAAAATTTCCTCAAAATTAAATTCGTTCGGAATTCCTTTTGAATCATCCGCAGAATTTATTTTGAATAATCCTCATAGGCTCACAATTCTCGTGGAATACTACTCAGAATTACCAGGGAATGCTCCTCACATAATTCTATGAAAATCATCCTTAGATTTTCGTAGTGCGGGTGTCTACTACATGGAAAAAATCTCGAATTCTCAGGGAATTTTGTATCAAGCATGAAGCTAAATTCAAAAATAGAATACAATATATTGAAGTACGTCGAGGAACCTTCTCAAGAATTTTAAAACATTTTATAATACAGCCAAATTTATTTTCCTCGTTATCAAATTTTACTCATTGAACTTAAGAATTCTGGGGTGGATTTAGCATTAATAATAACTTCTGAAATCTAAATTGTTTTTTAGGGTGCTGAATAAAATTTTAAACTTTGAAAATTTTTTGAAACCCTGGGTCTAATAAAATCAGACTTAGACAAATTTTCTAGAATCTCGAACGAAAATAAAATTTAATAATTTAATATTCGAGACGTCGGACACTGAATATTTTCCAAGCGCCCAGATTTAAAAAAAAATGCAAATCGTTAAACCTTTTACAGCTTATGGGCTATAAAGAATGACTTTCATGGGTATTTCCAAGGAACTCTAGGGATAATTTCAGAGGAGAATTTTTAGGAAAACTTGAAGCGAAATCTAAGGATTCATTTCAAGTTAGTTCTGTTGAACTCCAGCTTGCAGGTGAAACGTAAGGAGCAGCGAATCCAAACGCATAAAGCAACCAACGATGAAGACAAAACGCTTGCTACTAGTACCATGATAAACTCTCTCTGTAATATAGCTTGATCAGAGTTGTAGAAGGATAATGATAATTTGTTTCCCCGCTTTGTTGCAATTTACACGACTGAGGACATAGCTTGATCGGAATCGAGAAAAGACAACAACAAAATCCCATTAACACACGTGTATCATCTTCGGCTTTACTTCGTGAAACAGCTTGCCAAAAATTTGGTCGTTTCCTTCTACCGGCCCGAGCGAGCTATATTACAAAGGCAGTTTGTCATGGAAAAAAGGAAGAAGATTATATCTCTATTGCTTATCATCATCGCCTGTCATTTTGAGTTATTTTTGATTCCTTAGTAACTATAATTCCAGGGTAGTTTTGAGTAGAATCCCAAGGGAATTCTGAGTAGGATTAAAAGGAAATTTCCAACATAAAGTAATTCCAATAGAGTTCTGCGAGTTCCAAGAAATTTGTTAGGAGGACTCCATGGTACTTGTGATTAGAATGCCAAGAGAATAAGGAGAAACCAAAGGGAATTCTGAAACAAATGCTTAGATAATTTTCATATTGATTCCAAAGGAATTCTAATGAATATTCAAAAGGAATCCTATGGAAATTTACAATGAAGTTTTGAGGTAAATTTCAAAGGAATGCTTAGGAGAGTTTCAAATTTATTAGTGTTATCATTTTTAGATAACTCAAAGAAGAGTTCGTATGGAATTCTGAGGAGCATTTCAAGGAATTTACGGGTCAACTGAGAAAATTAGAGGGAATTCCTATAGTAATTCCATGGAAGGACAATTTGGGTAGTTCGTAGTTAATAGAGGGACCCCAGTTAAGAATTTTAAGATAATTTCAGAGTGAGTCAAGGAGTCTTCTATAGAGAATTGGAACATAATTGAAAAGGAATACCAGAGAGAGCTCCAAGACGCACTCTGAGGAAATGATGAGGTGATTCCGAGGGGGCGACTCTATCTACGCTGCAGGAAAAAAATTGATTTGCGCACGATGAATAGATAGAAAGAAGATTGATGCCGATTCTTAAGATTTCCTGCAAAAAGAGGATGCGCGATGCAATTAGATGCGAGAAATGAAAGAAGATTTTCCTAAGATTGATTTGCTAGTATGAGATTTGTTGAGCATCTTGAATTGAGATTTAGATGTGTCGCCCCCCTCGGGTGATTCTAAGGAAATTCTTGAGAAAATTCTAAATAAATCCTGTGTAGGGATCCAAGGGTATCAACATGATATAAAAAAAAAATTCGATTCCACAGGAGAAAAATCAAGACATAAAACTTAGAAATAAATCTTATTTTTATTAATTTGATATATCATGCTAATGTTTTCTTGATTCTGATGGATTAAGAAAAATCATCAATCTTCAATCTGTACCATGAGTAGCTTTTAAGATTAAAAACTAAGATATATATTCTAAATGCTAAACTTTTGAATGTTTTTAAGATTTAATTCTGGAGCCATGATTATTTTTTTTTATAATTTTAAACCTTGACAATTTTTTTAAAACTTAAAGATTTTGCAATTTCTAATTATCTTAGACTTGGCAATAAAGCAAAAAATCAACCATAGCAAAAAAAATGCTCCTGAAACCCAGATATTTCTACGTTTTAAATAGTTTATACATGATTTTCTAGTTCCCTACCTCCTTGGTTCCACATGTTTATTAGTAACATGAAATGTTGCCATCACAAATAAATGACACACTTGGAAAACAAATACATGAGTAGGTTTTTTTGTTGTTCAATGATACGCTTAAAAATTGCAGCATTTATGTTTAAAAATAAAGCTTTTAAATCAGAAAATAAAATAGTTCTAATTAAAATCATGATTATTCAAACTATGTAAAAAAAGGCTGAAATTTTTCGTTAAAGTCCTGCAAAACTTGGGGAATTCAGGAAAATAAGTAGACATCCTGTTGTGATTCTCCTCAGAGTTCTATTGGAATTCTTCTGGGAATTCCCTTACAACTCTCCTCAGAATTCCCTTCTGGATTTTTGTTAAGTGCTCTTCAGTATTCTCCTTCAATTAATTTCAAAAATCCCTTTATTTTTTCTTAGAATTTCCTTAGGAACGCGATGGTAAATTTCTTGCAATTATTATGTTCGAATTCCCTCGAAATTCTCTTCAGAATTTCTTTGAATCTATTCTGAAATTCCTTGAAACTTTCTTCACTGTTTTAATAGCATTCACTCAGAAAATTTGAATTTGAAATCTTTTTAGAATTTGATTTAAAATTGTAGCTAGTCAATCTAACCCCACTGGCCGGCAGTGGTATTATGGAAGAAATTTGCTAGCAACAACCCTTGATGTGACTATTGAAAGCAACTTTAGTTCGGCAACTTCAGCAACCCATTTTGCCTGGTAATTCATACGTCCATTCTGATCAGAATTGGTTTTAAATTTCCTCAAAATTTAATTCGTTCGGGATTCCTTTTGAATCATCCGCAGAATTTATTTCGAATATTCCTCATAGGCTCACTTCAGAATTCTCCTCACAATTCTCATGGAATACCTCTCAGAATTACGCCGGCCCTCAAGTTAGATTTTTCAACTCGAAAAAAAAAACTACCAAGCGAAACCGGTAGACGCTTTCCGGACAAACTGAGAAAATTTAAGGACGAAATTTGCAGAGACTTGCAGGACAAGTTGAAAGGAATTTCTGCAAGTCATAAGGAACGTCTCTAATTAAAAAAAACCATAAACGAATGATAATCCAAATGATATAGCTATTCCCCACAAATGGTTTGGATGATGATGTTGGAAGAAACCTACGTGCAAAGTCGAACGAATCTTCCAAGATAAATCATAACAATACTTCCGAAGAAGCTGGTCATAATCTACAAAGGTAAGTTGGAAGATAGTTCCAGAAAATGCCGGGAAAATCTTCCGAGAGAAACCAGGGGACATCCGGGGGCAGTTCGTGCAAACCTTCCGAGTGAAAACAAAATATTAAACTTCTTATCGTGGAACTTGACGAGAATTGCTTGGTTTAACGACTTTCTCATTCTTAATTTGCTCCCACGAAAATATTAAAATTTATTGAAATATGTTGAATGCTTTAAAAGCCGACCGGTGGAGCTCCAATTCAAATCGAATCGAAAATTATATCAGGTCACTAGATAAAAAATATTTGCAATTCCCGGGTGGCTAATACTAGCCGGGAAATGAAAACACTATACTCTTGGATTTCTCTCTGAATTTTACAAAGGGTAGAACACCTTGGCTGAATATATCAACATATTTTTTTAAATTTAATTTTCTTAGATTTAACAACATAAAAATATATCTAAGCTCTCTTGCCCCTTTGGAATTTGTTTTCCTCCTCTCTTCAAACTATGCTTAGAAGTCTCCAAAAGTTCTCAAAATTTACTTGGAATTCTCCAGAAGTTCTTCTCAGGATTATTAGAATTAACTATTAAATTCCCTTAAAATTCTTTTGGAATTCTAAAAAAAAAAAATACACCGAAGTACAAAAGCTCTGAAAATTGTTCAGTCCTGAACGTCAACGTACCAAACCACTCAACGTTTTAATGTTGCACGCATTTAATCAATTCACGAATTTTAGAAACCAGGTTCACATCGATTTGGAACTCATTCTAGATTTTCGATCAATCAAGAGAAGTGTGTCTGATTTCCAAGAAATTTTAAATGAATCGAGATACCCAAATTGTCAAATTGATTTAGCATTTACAAATTTTGATAATAATCTGCTGTAAAACCCAAATATTATCTTGCAAATGTACATCAAGATATCTATGTTTCAAATTACTTACCTTTGGGATTTGCTGTCGCATTCTCCTTGAGTTCACCTCCGCGTTTCTGCATAGAGCTTTGCGATTCAGCACAAGTCAAATATTCTTCAAATGTAGGCAGATTTGAACATTTCTGAAAATGCAAAAAGAGAACAGTGATGATTTAATGTGCCTTTTCCGTTTCTGTAGCAAACAAAGAAAAGATAGCTCACCGTAGATGGAGCTATTTTGTACCAGACGCGGTAGATCTTCGGATTCGACCAATCAGATGAACGCCAAAGTTGAGTAAATTATTGGACCATTGCACCTTCTAATATTTGGACGAAACAAGTTCTTCTATGGCGGTATTCCCGAGCAGTTTTAATAAATAAATAACTTTCATTTCTTGAGTAAAATATACACACTGTAGGTAAAAGGACGGAAGTAGGTGCATTGCATTAGCAAAACGAAACCATATTTTAGTAAAAGTGCTACTATCCCAAAGCTGAACCGAAAACCAAAATTTACAAAAAAGCCAAACCATTGAAAAATGCATCTACTTCCCGTCCTTCCTCCTGATAAAGTAAACCGTGCTACTCGCCCCGGTTATATCTGGTCTGTGATGCAACCCGACATGAAGCAAGCATTTTTTTTTTAGAGTGGAATTCGTGTAACTAGTAAATGGAATGCTATATTACCCAAACCCGCTCCGGTGCTAGGGTTCACGCACGGCACGTAGATATCCTCCAGTGCGTACGGGTCGCCTCCACCGCCTCCGGGATGATGATGGTGCCCAACCGTCGGTGTCATGTTCACCACCAGGGTGTTATTGTCCTTGGAGGACTTGGTAATCGTGAGGTTGGCCATCGTGGACACTACGGTCGTTACGGCGGCCACCGTCGGGGCACCGTCGATGGTGCCGCTTGGATCGCCGCCATTGGTAGTGCTACCGTTACCGTTGCTACCACTACTGGTGGCTACGTTGCTGCTACCGTTGCTAGTGGAAGTGTCCCCTGCCAGACCCGTCACCGATAGGTAATGAGAAGCGGATGGGGATGTCATGCTGTTGCTGTTACTACTGGTACTACTGTCGTTGCAGCGTTGCAGGCTTTGCACTGGAATAGATGAGAATAATGAGACGTGTTAGATGATGAATGATGCTCAAGAAATATTGGAACACCCATATATTCGAAGCGACCAGAGAAATGTTCGTGTTTATCTGGGTCTACTGAAAGGATAGGTTCAGATTCGTGTTTTAAACTGAGTGTCAGAGAAACGCATACAGGTCGATTATGCCAGCCCAATTTTTTTTTTGAAAATCTTGTCTAATGCTCAACGAAACCCATGTGGTTTTTTAGTGGTCTTATTCCATCAAAGTATACCTTAAACATCGATCTTGAAGATGAATCAGATAGATTTGGAATTACGGTTATGTGACAAAATCGGGTATTTAGTCTTGGTCGGACATTCGTAATATTGAGCATGAGCATGGTTGACCACCCGAGGATGCAACTCCGTTATTTCCAGATCAGCTGAAATTACACAGAGAACCAATAGACGTTGCTTGGGACTAGCAATCATCCTAAATGTGTAAATACTGGCGATCTAAAGCTAGGCAATACCACCGCCGGCAAAGTCCTGATCAAGAAAGGAATGGGTAGGAATACGTTGACGTAATACTCGCTCTAATGAAAGCCGAGAACACCTCTGCACTTCCACGAACAATCACTGCGATGTTGGATAAAAGGGTAGGGATTGCAGCAGGCTTCGTTTCGGTAAACGATATGCAGAATTGAACACACGGTCTTCTGCTCAGTAAGCAAAATCGGTCGCCACTAGGACACCGAGCTCCTTATATCACTAAACAATTACGATCAAGTTACAGTTCAACTTGTTGTAATAAGGTTTCCATCCCGGCGGAGACCTCACCGACGACGACAACAACTGCTCTTGAGAAGGATTTGATATGGGTTTTTTTAGAACTCAAATATTACTTCTTTTACGTAGTGTTGTGTTGTGAGGAGAACTTCTTTTTATGATTTTAATGAGAATTGAATGATGATGTTGAGGAGAACAACAGGTTAATATTAGTGAGAACTCCAAGATAATTCAGATGAAAATTATTAGGAAAGAATCATGAACATAATTTAAAGGGTCGAGCAATAATTTCTATGGAATACTGAGGAAGATTCATAAGAGAGCATCAAGAGAATAAAAAAAACGTACGAAATCGTATTATGAGGTTAATTCCAGCAAAATTTAGAAGGAAACTTAAATTAAATTCTTAATTTAGAAGAAAATTCCAAGGGATTCTATAAACAGAATTTAACTGGTTGAGCAATAATGTCTATGAAATACTGAGAAAGATTCATTAGGGAGCAAACTTAAGACAAAGGCACTAGAACTTTTGTTTTTTTTTTTTCAAAATTTTCATTTTGAATTCAATTAACGGTTTTAACAAGCTCTAAAAAATCATCTGAAAGTGACTTTCATAGAAAAAAAAGATAGAGCTAAAAAACTGAATTTATCAGGAAAACCCTAATTCAATTCCGAAAAATTGCTTCGGCAAAGTAGCTTGAAATCATCTCAGCTTATAACTTTGCTGAAGAACATGTTTTATTTTATTTTCGAAAAAAAAAAGAAGTTAGTTTTTCTATAATTTAAAATCGACAAAAAGAAGGATATTTTAAGCGAAAAAGTTTACAGAAGACACAACACCTCCAAAACTTAAGGACATTAGGACATTTGTCTAGCTGGGACACTAGGACATTTGTCTAGCTGACCCATCCTGGAACACTCTTATAAAGTAGGGGCCTCCCTTAGCTCAGTCGGTAAATGCGCAGCTAGAAAGTAAGACCATGCTAAAGGTGGCTGGGTTAGATTCCCGGTCCGGTCTAGGAATTTTTCTTGTTGGAAAATTTCTCGACTTCCCAATTACACTAATGCAAAAAAAAATGGTACAGGCATCGAAACCTCTCAATTAATAACTGTGGACGTGCATCTAACAATAAGCTTATACGTGACAAGCAATAAGCTTGAAATGGAAACGAGCTTTTATTCAGCCGCTTCGACGCTCTCGCTCCAGGACCGAAACGTCCAACCGAGAGAACTGAAATTCAAGACTGCTGAACCATAATCCAAAAATCACAAAAACTTACGGTGATTCGCTGTGGAAACCTTATTTCCGATTGATCCCAATAGCACCTCGACATTTCAAGAGCACACATATCAAGTCCCACAAAAGAAACAACAATGAAGCTGGAACTCCACGTTTGCTGCAGTGCAGCAAACAGGGAGGTTCCAATCTCATGAGTGATGTCCCAACAGAGTCCAAGATTTGTGCTCCAGAAAACTCGAAATCCTACACTCAAAGAATAAATCACATATCCAATGGAAAATATTCATTAGAATTTCACAAAACTTTCATGTGATATCATAATTGAGAATTGCACCACAAAATCACATGAACCTTATGTGTCAAATTAAATTTAAGTGATTTATCATATAGAACTTATGTGATCACATGAATGTTATGTGAAATTCAAATAGGGGAATTTACGTATTCTCGGCAACCTAAGCAGCGACCATCTTTCTATAGCCTTTTTCTCTAAGGAACGCACACATATGCAATATTGGTTTGTTTACAATCTTTTGCTGCCAGCTGCTCTAACAATTTCAGTCGAAAAAATTGTCAAAAACTGTTTGAAACGCTTTTACAAAGCTCCAATCTTCTCTAGTGAGAGCGAGTATTGTCGGCAACCAGTTTTTCTTCGGCAACCGTTCCATTTGAACTGCGTGTAAATCTGCTGTTCTATTACCGGCAACTCGAAATCAGCTACAATTTGTAGTGCGGGTGTTGCATTTCAAGAAAACCTTGCTAGATTGCTTTTTCTAAGTGGTAAAAATATAGTCAAATTGAAGCTGAAAGCATAAAGAATCGTTTGCATGGATTCAGCGAAGTGTTTTCGTAAGAAAATCCAGTGAAAATAGTGTTTCAATTTGTGTTGCCGAAAATTGTCTGTCATGCCGAAGCCGTCATTTCCCCTATCCAATGGAAAATATTCATTAGAATTTCACAAAACTTTCATGTGATATCATAATTGGGAATTGCACCACAAAATCACATGAACCTTATGTGTCAAATGAAATTTAAGTGATTTATCATATAGAACTTATGTGATCACATGAATGTTATGTGAAATTCAAATAGATATCATTGGTTTTGTTAATGGAAAAATATTATGTGCATTCCCAATGGAAACTACATAACAACTTTTTTTCCGTGTAGGACATATCAGCCATCATGACGGCTATTTGTGGACTCTTCAAGGGATGACCTTAATTCTGGGACAAATTCAAAATCCTAAGCTTGGAATGGAAGAATTTTCAAGGTCTGTGTCTTGAATAACATATGAGACTTACCAAATTGACGAAATCTTTGCCACAGAAAAAATCTACGGCTACGAAAAAGTTTCAATGCCTTCAATATAACTGAATTTTCATGATTCTGGGACTTAAAAAAACATTAAGAACTCAAACATAGAAAAGTTTTGAAAATTCTGGGATTTTTTTAAAGATTTATGATTTAAAGAAAAATACAAGTTTGTGGACTTTCAAAACTTAGCACCATAAAAACAAAGTTAATTGATAAACTAAAACAAAGTTAAACGATTCAACAACTCCAATGAACCTATTTAACAAAAATTCCCTGATAATTCCAGGATTTTGCAGATCTTTTCAAATTCCCTGATAATACCAGGTTTTCCAGGTTCCAGGTAGTTGCCATCTCACACGCATCATAGAAGTCCAAACATTTCAGGAAATTCCATCACCTACTTCTACTTTTCTATGAAGTTCCTGTCCTAAAAATAATACCTCTGTCCTAAAAACGTTCAAGCAAATTTCAATCATTAGGATCGTCAAAATAATCACTATTAAATCTGAGCCATTGCTATTCAATAATGCCGAAATAATTTTCCAATAAACCAACAAATAGGAATCTCCCGAAGAGCGCAGTGGCACCACCCTATCCACCCACCGCTTTTACTCGGCTGTCAGTCAACCAATTGAGCTCATTTTTGGTAGGTGACTAGTTTATGGTCGACACAAATCGCATACAAAAAAAATCATCTCATCACGGGACCACCTACCGCGCTCTTCGAGGAATCTGTGTACTCGGGATTCATCCTATTCTAGACCAACAATTAAAACAAGCGGAACAACCAAACGTAAACAATGGCTTTAAACGCAAATTTATCTCAAATAAAAACACACCCACGCAAACTAACAAGGTCATTCGATAAAGGAAATTTGCTTTATCAGATGCTGGTGTTAGATTCTTGAGAAATTTGCGTTTAAAGCCATTGTTTACGATTGATTGTTCCGCCTATTTCAATTGTTGGCCTAGTCTTACCCCCAAATCGCCATAGGCCAACAACTAGGCTTGCATCTTTATCTAAACATTAGTAGGGGTACTCACATTGCACATAACCATTCTTCTTGGTGCGTGTGTTGCTCGCTTTGTACCAGCCGCCAGTGCTGCTAGCCAACGTTGTACCGGTAGCCGTTTTCGGGACGTACACCTCAAGGATGTCCTCTTTCTGGTAGCTAAGTTCTTCGGCATTGGCGGAAGTGTAGCTGACGGTCGCTCGGTAGATCACAATGCTGTCCTCGCTGCTGTCCATTATTGTATGGCAGGTCCAATGGAACCAGCACCAACACTACCGCCGTCGTCGTCGTCGGTTGTCGGTAGTGTTTTCGCGCTACCACTACTTCCACTTGCTCTGTTGCTGTTGCTACAAACACACTCGCGGCACCACCGCAGTAGTACTGCGTTCGCACCGATGATGGTGGTGGTGATGATGATGATGGCTTAGTCCAACTTATCAGCCGTTCGTTCGGCTTAGCTGTCCCCAACATATGGGGGGTGGGCGGCGCTGCTAGAGCAAAGATGCGCTTCACTCGTTTATCCAATGAAATGTTTGAATTTCTAAACTCTATATTTCTTAATGAACCGATGTGTGCAAGCCCCCTATCGGCGGCTATCGTAATCACAATTAGAGGAAAAAATCTAAGAACAAAGCTAAGTAGTTGTATCGATTTGTCTCTCGGTGAGACGTGTGATTATCTGCGACAATTAGATGCGGTAATGCTCTCTTTCTCCTTATAGCAGCGAATTGCTTGCTCCTTCCGTCAATCTTCTTGCATGATTCGTGCGAAAGCGTAAAAAAAATCGTTCCACTGTTTTTATCTCGAGGGGGTGTGTGCTGTTTAGGCTTGTGTGTTCTATGTCACGCACTCTCAGTTCCTATATCTCGGATGCTTTCGAAGACGATGTATGATGATGATGACACGGAGGCGATAGCCAGCTGTGTGCTTTATTCAGTGTTCTGACAGTTCACTTGAAATTCCTAAGGCACATCTATGAGAAGAATGGTTACACCTTCGTTCCGTGTGATCCATTTTTCAATTATGCGTATCTGAAAACATAGGGAGAGAAAGGAGAAAATATAAGTACACATACGCACAGCACAGTAGGGGTGGTTGTCAAACTTGATAAATCAAATGGTTTGTCGCTTTGAATACTCATTACAACAAGTGAAGGGCATTAAAAAAAACGATTCAGAAATACTAGATTAGATTGAAAACTGCACAAGTTGATTACCATTATCTACGATCGTTACCGTAAATCAGCATACTTTTATTCGTACTTAGAAGATTTACGACTGCACGCCACTTCCAAACGAATTAGATCAGGACCGAACGAGTCGCAAAGCAATGGGGAGAGTCCTGATAAGAAATCAAACTTGCTGAATTTTGTTCAAGGTTCCCCACTCTTCACATGTATAGGAAGCAGTAGCTGGATCTAAAAAAAAAAACACACACACACACACACCGATGATGATCATCATTCAGGCTATCTACTTACAAAACTCATTCGAAGGTAGACGGCGACAAAATTACCAGAATCACATTGATATGGGATAGGATGATGGAATGTGTTACAAGGACCTTATTATGGGTCCAAGCTGGTTTGAGTCAGAACATGACGATCTGATGGGCAGTAGCAGTGATGCCAAATATGGAAACCCATTTGATGTAGATAAATAAAAAGTTTATTTTTTGGTTATTTTGAATTTTCTCGCGCAGATGGCCAAATGTTATCAGGGACACGTCCTTATTCCCCCTTTCGAATGAAACGAATTATTCATGCACAAAATGTGCGAAATCCGTTTCGATCGAATGCAAGAAGAGGGACGACAGAATATTATGTTATAGGGTAGAGAACTACTTTGGCCTAATCGCCCATTTTGGGCCTATCGAGCAGAAAACTTCAAATAAATCCATGATTTCAGAGTTAACAAATCAATTATGCGTTGGGTACGATTCTTTAATAAATAAGCTACGGAACGAAGTCAATGAGAACGCGTGATATGAAAGTTTGCACCCATTATTCCCAAAAACAAAAGAAGCGCTCCGACCGAATCAATTTTCATCTTCATCCGACCTGCCGAAGTAAATTCATTGGCGTTTCAATGCATTAGGCCGAGTTTAGAATCCGTAGGCCGAGTTTGGCGTCAAGAAGCAATGCTAGACTTTTGACAATATCTCAACGATCGATTTCTCTTTATCAAATCTGACGGTACATACGGAAAGGTAAATAAATTTGGAAGCCATCAGTAATAATAACATTCCATTTGGTGTTAAACTGCGCTAGATTAGGAAAGACTTAATACGGGTTGTGCTTAATAGGCCAGAAATGGGGTAGTTAACCCTACTTTTATCTATTTCCCAGAAATTTTCGAATGCAAAATCTAAAGTTTTTTTTCCAAATTCCTCCAGTTTCAAAAAGTAGTAAAACTCCGATACGTCTCAGAGGGTTGACATTTTTCTAAGCACCAGTTTATAGATTTGGTTTTATGGCACAAAACCTTGTTATTTTTTCAAAGTTGCGGAAGCACATGAATTTCTTTTAAAACAAATTTCTCTCAATTACTTTCAAATTTGACTGGGTTCAAGAACAGTATTGTGCAACACTTTGGCTCAGTTCCAGGTCTCGGATTTTTTTAAATGATCAATTCCCGAACACTTGGAAAGTCTCAGGACCTTGAAATGTTACCCAAGTTACTGAATATTCAAAATTTGAAGAAAAAAACTTCCCCTTCCTGATGATGTTGATGGTTTGCGTGGGCGACGCACGGTTGGCGAGAAAAGGGCATACAAAGTTTTGTTTACAAAAAGCTTGTATGCCCTTTTCACATGTGGCTCTTGAAATTGTTTCCAAGTCATGTCGTGGAAGCGTGGAAATTTAGCAATTAGGTTTTAGATTCATAAAAGTGTTCTAGTCACAGAATCTTGATTTTTATCGAAGTATACTGGACTTGGGAATAGCCAAAAATCTAAAATTCTTTTAATTCTGAATAAGTTTTTAAAATTGATTTAAGCCCAATAAGTTTGAAAGTAGATTGCGGAGGCTGGAAATGTAAGCTCAATCTAGTTCTTGGAAATCCTTTGCTTTTTTCAAATCACACAATCTTGAATTTTTCAAAGCATCAAATTTAGCACGTGATTTATAAATGGTGAAATCTCTTACTTAAACTAAGGTCCAGGATTTGCATTAGTCAATTAGTAAAATCAATTGAGAAGTCAAGAAATTTTCCAACTCGAAAAATTCCCAGACCGGACTGGGAATCGAATCCAGCCACTTCCAGCATGGTCTTTGCAGCTGCGCCTTTACCGACTGAGCCAAAGGAGGTTTGAGAACCTAACTGAGTCTAGAATCATGCATGTTTTTTGTTTAAAGCCCAGCATTTTGAAATCTGTTAAAACCATATAAATTTGTAACTAATCCCGAAAGCTTCCAATTTAAGCCGCTTGGAAATAGGTTCAAGTTCTAAGAATTTTGTTTAGTCCCGGGTGCTTGTAATTTAGCTCGTACCAGAATCTAATATCTTTTAATTTTGCCGAACCTCTAAATGGAATCCCTTGTGAAGAGCATTTGAGTGGGTTGACTTATTTCCTATTAATAACGTTAAAATGGCTTATAACTTATAAGACTTTCACAGTGCCAAATTAATCGATAGGAGCATGTATCGGATAGTGTAAGCCACGATAAGTAAATAGCCCATTTGGCCCCTTTTTCTCTAAACATTTACGGAGAATTGATAATAGCTTTGAATAATAGTCCTCATTTCAATTATCATCTTCGCTTTCTTCAACGGTATCGTCGGATTCGGATTTTGAAACATAGCTGTCATCACCCCGGAAAAGAGACCAGCGTTGCCTTATCTACGTAGTACCATTGCATCTGCCAAGAAAATTCTGGTTCATCTGATAGCTCGAAATGTGCTATCTTTGGATCGGACCACCATTACGGTTAGATTATCTTCCGAAGATGTCTTACGAGCAAGATACAGGCGAGCATGTTTGTACCGTTTGAGGCACCATTCACCTTTAAACGATCCGATACATACTCCACTAGATTATTTTTTTCTGGCTGAAAATCTCCTTAATAAAGACAACCAACCAACTAGATTCTTTGGCCTTTAAACGCTTACGTCACATGACGACTTGTGTGTGAAACAATCGATAGAACTGTTTCCGCACATCGAAGGTACGTGAGCAAATCGGCGATCATATCTTTTGCCAGTGGTGGCGGGGGTAGATACCCCTCACCATCCATCCCCAACAGGAGAGTTTGATAAAGGAGATGATCAAATTGGTGCCTTCCTCAAAATTGATCTTTGCTCGCTTTCTACTCTTTATATACAATTTTCTCACTGCCGTACTCTAACACACCGACTTGAAGATGCAGCGGTAAAAAGGTCTTTTGTTGAAGAACTTGAGACTCGAGCTGCGGACGTTCCAGAAGGTGGCAGCGTAGAAGAACAATGGACGGCCATCAAGAATGCCTTTATAGAAACAAGCGAGAACAACTTGGGTGAGCTGCGCATCCAGAGGAAAGAGTGGATCACAGATGAAACCTGGCGGAAGATTGAGGAGCGTAGAGAAGCAAAAGCCGCGATAGAGCGGGCGAGAACCAGAGGAGCCAAGAACGAAGCCCGTCAACGGTACTCGGCTCTAGAGAAGGAAGTCAAGCGCTCTTGCAGACGCGACAAGCGAGCGTGGGTGAACTCCCTGGCCGACGAAGGGGAGAAAGCCGCAAATACTGGCGATATACGCCTCCTCTACGATATCTCACGACGCCTGAGTGGAGCAAGGATGAACCCGAGGATGCCAGTGAAGGACACGACTGGACAATTGCTTACCGACCCCACTGACCAGCTGAAACGCTGGTTTGAGCACTTCGAACAATTTCTTCAAGTTTCGACGGCCAACCAGCCATCAACATCTCGGCATGATCCGCCTAGGGTGCGGCGCATCACTCGCGTCAATTCCGAGGCCCCATCACTGCAGGAGATTGAAGCAGCTATCCGAAGCATGAAATCCAACAAGGCTCCAGGGGTCGATCGCATATCAGCTGAGATGCTCAAAGCTGACCCCATACTATCCGCACAAATGTTGCATCAACTATTCTGTAATATCTGGGACACCGCGACTTTTCCGGCCGACTGGATGCAGGGCATCTTAGTGAAGGCCCCAAAGAAGGGGGATCTGAATGTGTGCGACAATTGGCGAGGCATCATGTTACTGTGTACTGTTCTCAAAGTTCTGTGCAAAGTTGTCCTGAATCGGATACAGGAGAAGATCAACGCGACTCTCCGACGGCAGCAGGCAGGATTCCGTGCCGGAAGATCTTGTGTGGACCATATTGTCACGCTCCGCATCATCCTGGAGCAGGCCAATGAATTCCAAGAGTCCCTTTATTTGGTATTCATTGACTACGAAAAAGCTTTCGACCGTCTCAATCACAAGAATCTGTGGGGCACCCTGAGACGCAAGGGAGTCCCGGATAAAATCGTCAACCTCATCGAAGCGCAGTATGAGGCTTTCACGTGCAGAGTTCTGCATAACGGAGCCTTGTCCGACACTATCCGGGTAGTCACTGGTGTGAGACAAGGATGTATACTATCACCGCTACTGTTTCTCATCGTAATCGACGAGATCATGGTAGGTGCAATTGACCGTGTACCGAACCGCGGGCTGCTTTGGCAGCCTATCACCATGGAGCATCTCAACGACTTCGATTTGGCTGATGATGTTGCTCTACTAGCACAACGGCGCTCTGATATGCAGAGTAAGCTCAATGACCTAACCAAACGCTCCTCTGCGGCGGGTCTCACCATCAACGTCAACAAGGCCAAATCGTTGGATATCAACACGGGCAACCCTTCCAACTTTACGGTAGTGGGGCAAGCAGTGGAGAAGGTCGAAAGTTTCCAATATCTTGGCAGCCAAATAGCGTCGGACGGCGGGACCAAGAGCGACATAGGTGCACGAATCAAGAAGGCTAGGGCTGCCTTTGTGAGTTTACGAAACGTATGGAGATCCAACCACATAAGTCAACGCACCAAAATCC